CTAACCCAAATAAATGTGAAGTTATGTTTATAGGCACTCAGCAGCATTTAAAGAGATTACACGATATTATTGATGATTGTTATATGTTTATAGATAATAACGAAATTAAAAGGGTCAAGTCATGTAAATATCTAGGTGTTGTCATTGATCCAAATATGTCATGGAAAAATCAAGTTGATCATGTAAAGAAAAAAGTAATTAAATGTATATATCTCTTGAAAAGATTGCGTCCATACATTAATCAGATCACTGCTTTGACTTTTTATAAATCAATTATTCAATGCCATTTTGATTATTGTAGCGCAGTCTGGGTAAATGCTTTAAAGACTCACTTAAGTCAATTGCAAGTATTACAAAATAGATCACTCCGTATTGTTATGAATGTTGATTATATGTATCCTTCAAAAAATGTATATGATACCTTGAAATTAGATCGCTTATATAAACGATGGTCCAAACAATTAGCATGTACACTGTCGCTCATCAAGTTGGAATATTTTTGTTTTACGATTTATGGAATCATCTTTAAAATAATTTTAAAATAATAGATCTAAATAATAGTATAAATTCTCACATTTTATTGGATTAAAATTTCAAAATGTGTGTTTTGCGTGACTGCTAAAGCATGTATATGCTACTATGCTTATCAACTAGGGGACCTACGCCCTTAAGTCATTACTGACAGTAATGAGGACTAATGCTCCACAAAAGGGCACTAATATATAGCACATCGACACGGTTTTTATCCTAGACCTCACAGTAAGTAGGCCACTGCTTTGTCACTGAACCATGACTGTACGCAGAGGGGGAGGTGTAGGGGGCAGTTTCCATAAATAAAATAAAACACAGAAAATGCTATAAATTTTCAATATTTTATTGCATTTTACCCCGGTCCCCAACGTAAACAAATTATCTTAGTGCCCATGCCTTGAGCCATAATGCATGGCCGTCCAGTGGATTTTTTTATGTTAGGACCATTCTTAGCAGACAGACTTAACATCCTATATATATATATATATATATATATAACAAATTAAGCTAAAAATACAAAAACCCCGGTTTTCTTTCTTTTCTTCTTATTCCTTTTTTTTTTCGTTCCGTTTTTACCATGTAAGGACACGTTCCTCCTTTTGTAGTTGCTTCCCCCCCCCCCCCCCCATAGTGATATTATTGTTCTTGTAGATATATACTTTAGTATATTTGTTTATTTTTTTATTAAGCAAATTATATTTTGTGTGTGTTCATTTGTCTATTCTTATGAGTAGCCCATATACATGTATTGATTATTCTGATTGTATGTTTTTACCTTGGCCTGGACCCCTTTAAAAAACAGCTTTTAGTTGACAAGGGCTATCCATCTCATGAGTGGAGAATAAATAAATAAAGAAAGAAATAAAGAAAGAACAGATTTATAATGTGTGTGTTTATTATAAGTTTTGGTTAATAATTTTTAGTCAGACAATGGTGTGCTTAGAGACACCCGTATTTATAAGCGCCTAATAAATGTTGTGTATTATTATTGTTATTAAGTAGTTAAATTTCTCATTAAAGTAACCTCCAACTCCACCACCACCAGTGGCATCCCTGTCATTTCTTTCAATTCTGTAAACATCGATAGAAATTATATGATTTGTGCATGTTCTTGTCGTTGTCATGACTACTGGGTTTTGCGTTCCCGGTATCGCGGGAGGTTTCTTGGTCACGGACCGGTGCTTGGTCTTTGATTAGGGCTCCTACTCGGCTCCTATTCAGTAACTCAAACTACCAAGCTTCCTATCCTAAATGGTTTATCACAATAGCAACTTGTATATGCATTGTAATTAACAGTTCACTGCTTTAGTTTAGTAGGGACTTTTAGATTTGCGTGGACTGATACGTGTGACGTCCATTCAAGGCAGTGCATTAAAAGGACGGCGATCGTAGCATAGACCTATTGTCTTCGTGCGAATCTAAAAGTCCCTAATGTCAAGTCCAAAAGTTCTTTCAGTTCATCCTTATTTCTGTTTAAATATGGAATCTGGTCTGAAGAACTTGAAGTGGTAATGAACACCGAAGTCAACTCCTTGACCGTGTAATGTGGTCGAAGTCTTCGAAGTTCGGCCGGACCAGTGTACAATCGACACCTCGGGTATTGGAGTGCACAATTACGTCGACTTTACATCAAAGTACGCGTCATGTTACACCGTGGTTAACATCCTGGTTAGCATCGAAGTCTACGCCGTGACCTTCAGGTGACCAATATTAGGGAGTTTTCGTTTTACACGACGAGAGCGTGGACTGCCGCGTGTTCCATTGTGTTAATGCAATGGACCGTGCCCGGCAGTGCCTTAAAAGGACGTCACATTACCTTAAAATGATGTCACACGTGGCGGTCCACGTTCTCGTCGTGTAAAACGAAAAGTCCCTATTAATTCGAACAAGTGTTCCTCCCGTATAAGGAATTTTAATCTATACCCAAGCTACTAAAATATTGCCTTCACCCGCTTAACAACAAAACTGTGCAAGAAACCTATTTGAATCACCATAATATAGGATTTCTTGGTCACTTTCGTAAGTTGGCCCCGAAGTTGGCCACACACATTCATTTTATGTTCATTCAATTTCGCCGATTCTGTCACAGCAGCTGTTCTTTTTTGTTCAAATTCGTTTTTTAGCATTTAAATTCCTAAAACGATAAATTAAAAACATTTCATTTTCATTCGAATTAAAACGTGTTTCTTTTTCGTAAAATGTTCAGTCAATTTAAAGCGAGACGAATCGCGATTACGTAATAGAGTCTTCCGTGAATTCAATTTCGTTTCTTTACATACAGTTTCACACGTTTTGCGAACAAATTAAACATGTAAATCTTACCCAGTATGATCATAATACCCCGCAAGCTTAGTTCCATGTTAAATCCATTTTAAATTGTATGGGTTGCGCTGGTAAGCAACAAACATTGTATTTGTCCTCACTAGGGGTGTATACCCACTAAATGATCACTATTTAGCAAAACGATCATGTGTTAAATAGATATAACCTAACCACATCAATATAGAATTAGCATGAAACTAAGCAAGAGTGTCTTTTTTTATGAATATGCAATGATATAAGTACATGCAAAGTGTGTGTTTACAGACTACAGTTGTATTTATTGGAGTTGCGTACCATAATGGTGGTGGGGGGGGGGGGTATCAATACTCTATACATTGATTTATTTTGTATGTTTTGTTTGGTTTTGTTTTTGATAATTTATTCGATGTTCGTAATCTCTTTGAAGCCAGTTATATTTGTGTAAATTATATTTAGTATGTATTGAACATGTTAAGAACAATCTATGAGTATCAGTTCAATCACGTGTTATCATAATCACATCAAAATCACTGCGCGCACATCTCAATAACTCATGTCATGTGGACATAAACTAAAGAATACACGTATACAACCTGAAATCTTGTTTTGGTTATATTTTAATGATCATAATTACATCATGCATGACATTATCATGTTCGTCTACGTAATATATATCACTTCCAAAAGATGACCGAGTACGATAAAGTCCGTGATGAGAACATCGGTAAGATTATGTCCAATCTTATATCTAGATGTGTTTAACCCTCTACATGTTGGCGAACAAGAATGACAATACATGTTATATAACTAATTTGTTAAATTTAGATGAGAAACATGTGCATATACCATGTATACCATAGGTTTGTAAAGGTAGGCGAATATGAATGAAAACTTTGTTATTAAGAATGACCCAAAGTGAAATTGAATAGTACGGACGTCCGATTTGCCACTGTTGACGAAAATGAATGCAAACTGGGCATTAGTGTAAGCGGTTGTGAAATTGAATGAAACAAGTGCTAAATCCATTGACCGAATAAGTAAATCAAATGAAAAAAGGTGTTATCTTGAATGATATTTACACACCGGCAGCTTTATTTCGCGAATTTGAATGAACTGTGTATCAAAACGAATGAAAAGCTTACGAAAGTGTCCGAGAAAGCCTATATTAAAAGAGATTAGCATTCGAAACTTGCAGGAAGCCTTATACGGTGCTGGACAAAAGGAAGGAAACACAGAAATAGGAATATGCAAATAAGCTAACTGGATTACGAATCTTTGGACAAAAGCAAAGACATGACTAGACAAATTATTTGGGTCAATGTTTGTAAAGAGAGTTCGAAATAAGAATGACTTGTAATAATTGTAATTTGTTCCGACCATTGATATAACAATTTGTAAATTTTGTAGGAGTTGCCATTGACAACAAACTCACATGGGAAAAACACATTGAATTAATTTCCAAGAAGATTCTCTGTTTAATATACCAAACATAGTATGGGCTAAAATTTTCTTAATTCCTGTCAAGTCATGTTTATCTACACGGATCCGTTATTTTCAGTTCAAGATAATACATCGTATAGTTGGCGTTAATAAATATCTTAAATTATTAACTATTTCGCAGTCAGACTTATGTTCATTTTGTTATAGCTCTGTGGAATCTATACAAAATTTATTATGGGATTGCCCAATCATAAGGTTTATTGCGGATGTCCAACATTTCATTAGAGGATAAAGTTAATTTGAATAAAAAATTAATTTCTGACCACTTGCATATTCATAAAAAGACACTCTTGCTTAGTTCCATACTAATTCTATATTAATGTGGCTAGGCTATATCTACCTAACACATGATCGTTCAGTTACTAAATAGTGATGATTTAGTGGGTATACACCCCTAGTGAGGACAAATAACATGTTTGTTGCTTAACAACCCATAAAATTTGAAATGGATTTAGCATGGAACTAAGCTTGCGGGGTTCTATATATGATCATACTAGGTAAGATTTACATGTTTAATTTGTGTGCAAAACGTGTGAAATTGTATGCAAAGGAACGGATTTGAATTCACGGAAGACGCTATTACGTAATAGCGAATCGTCTCGCTTTAAATTGAATGAAAATTTTACGAAAAAGAAACACGTTTTAATTCGAATGAAAATAAAAGATCCGACTCATGTGGTGTGCATGTGAACATTTTCTAGTGTGGAAATAATTTGGCAAAGTTATGCGTGCAAATGAGCGCGCTTTGAATAGCCATTCTCGCTTCATTTTTCGTTCAAGGCAGTCGATTGTTTTAGAGCTGCAAAAAAATAAAATCAAATTTAAAAAAAAAAAAAAATAGCGAAATGGGAAAGAGAAAGACCAATGCGTGCGCCAATGGCGGTGCTAATGCCCAGCAGAAAAGACAGAGAACAGCTGAAAAGAGTCGGAAGGGCACTAGAGCCAGCTCAATTAGCAAGAAAACTAACAATTCAGCGCAAACTCCGGCCAGCAGTTGCTCAGCCACAGGCATCAACGGACGGGCGAGGCGCCGTCGTCAGGCAAGCAGCACAGAGAGGGCACGGGCACTGCAGTCTCGGCCGCTAACAGTAGACAGCGGAGTAGGCCTACCTGAAGCGATCCCGGCATTACCGGCAGCAGGCATCCCACCAGCAATTTCGAGCACCCCACCACCACCAGCAACAGCCCTGAATACCCAACCATCACAGCCGGGATCACAGTTGCAGTTACAGTCAACAGGTGAGGTACGGATAGATCTAGATCTTGATCTACCCACTAGTACTAATGCTACTTCAACCGAAGTTAGATCTATGGCTAATTGCACAGCAATTAGTGCTGGGGTCGGTACGACAAGCCCCAGGCCACACAGAGGGGCAGACAATAGTCACATAACAGGGGCGAACCCACTTTTAACTTCGTTCCCTACAATCGTGCCCCAGGTTGACTTGGAGTCGGGGAATCAAGGGCATGTCTCAAGAGGCATTCAATATAGATCTAGGCCAATCGGAAGTCAGTATGATAATAACAGCAGACCTAGCTACACAGGTATCGGTAATTCATCGGTACCACATACCGAGCATAGGTCCGGGTTCGCAGTAAATGACTCCCCGCCCCAATCCCCACTACGGCCAGTTGGAGATAGACTAGGCTCGGCCATTCCCAATAACATTAGGGAGAAAATATGGAAAGGCGAGTATGTGGATTTTAATGTGTTAGTGAATGCCTAAGAGGTGACAGCACACACACGGTGGGAAGCTAGAGGGGTGACACGTAGGGTTAGGGTTAGGGTTTCAATAGGGTTTTATGTTAGGTTTAGGGTTAGGTTTAGGGTAGGGTATAGTGTTGAATCCAGGGTTGAAGTTAGCCATTCGATTAGCGTATGAAATTTACAGCGGAGCAATTGTCGCCGGAGCAAATGTCATGGAATCGCTAGAGGCGAACAAAGGACGAATTTGGCAATGACTCAGGAAGAAGGGAGATTGGTATTGAAACCTGTCAGCGCGACATCCAAGAATAAGATTGCAACCATAGAGTTGTGGACTAATGCATTTCTTGTGTATGCTAGCATTGTTTTGGAAGCAAATTTGAATTGCGCACAAGACTTACTGAAATACTGCCACCTTATTCGATCTGCTGCTTCGCGCTATTATGGGTATGGGTGGAGAGATTATGATATCGAATTTCGTCACCGCTACCACAAGAAGGGTGGATCTTGGGCAGGTATAGATGGAGAATTGTGGCTCCTTCATGTAGTGGGAGTGGGACCTCCTCGGGGAGTTCGTGGCCAAGACCGTCCACTCGGGCGATCGGCCCCATGGTCCAACAGGAGGGAATGGAAGCGAACATATAACCCTAGCACTAGCCAAACACAGGGCAAGGGTAGGCTTGTGCCCCCCCCCCCCCCCAGGTCACCCAATTTTCGCAGTGGAATCTGTCACGAATTCAACTTCAGGTCAGGGGCTTGTAGCCGGAAAGATTGTAGGTACGCGCACAAGTGTTCCCTGTGTGGAGCAAGTGGCCACGGCAAGGTTTTCTGCCCAAACAATCAATCCAACTCAAAAGCCCCCAAACCCAAAGCTCAGTAAGGAAAAGGCAATTCCTGGGAGACAGATAGAACACACAAAAAATAGAAATCAGGACAGGCTTGAAGGTGACATACACAGTAACAGTAGAGATGTACAGATTACAGGACAGGTTATATCCTTGGGGAAGTCACCCATTAAAATAAAGAGCCTACAACAATTGTTAAAAAGCTACCCAAATGAGCGAGCAGCCAGGTTTTTGGAAAGTGGTTTCACAGAAGGATTTTGTTTAAATTATACAGGCCCTCGCATGCCAGTAGACTTACCCAACCTAAAATCAGCAGAAAATAACAAGGACATTACACAAGAGAAGATACGGAAGGAGATTAAGCTAGGGCGATACATAGGTCCCTTTGAGTCCAGGCCACTAAAAAATTTGAGAACTAACCCAATTGGCCTGGTGCCAAAGAAATCCCCGGGGGATTATCGATTAATCAATCATTTATCATACCCGCCTGGATACTCTGTGAATGATTTTATTGCAGATGAGCATTGTAAAGTGGAATATACTAGATTTGATACAGCGGTTGAGATGGTCGCCGAGGCTGAAATGGGAGCTGACTTGGCTAAGGAGGATATTAAGTCCGCCTTTCGATTGTTGCCTATGCACCCGAAAGATTTTGAGTTGTTAGGGGTCAAATTTGAGGGGAAATATTATCTCGACAAATGCTTGCCCATGGGGGTCAGATGTGCTCCAGCGTATTTCGAGACCTTTTCCACATTCATAGAATATTGTGTTCGGGAGCGAAGTGGCTCAAACGGGATTATACACTATGTTGATGACTTCTTGTGTGTTAGTTCAATAGAGCACGGGGGCGTGTCATGCCTCGAGATGGTACAAGTTCTCAAAGGAATCTGTGAGGAGTTAGGGGTTCCATTAGCGGCAGAGAAATCCGAGGGGCCTACCAAAAGATTGACATTTCTCGGGTTAGAACTTGACTCTGTGTTAATGCAGGTTCGAGTTCCACATGATAAGCTTACTGAGGTTAGGCGCAAGATTAAGAAGATGTTGTCACACAAATATGTAACAGTTAAGGAGATCCAATCAGTCATTGGGTCACTGAACTTTATTAGTCGGGCTGTGCGACCAGGAAGGGCATTCTTACGCCGGTTGATAGACCTAATAAAGGGAGAGAAGACTAGTTCTAAGCCATTGTCCATTTCCGAGGGTGCTCAGCTAGACTTGAGAGCATGGCTGGAGTTCATAGAGTATTATAATGGCGAAACAGTAATTACACAGGAAAGGTGGGTAAATAGTAGAGAAATGAGCCTCTACACAGATGCAAGTGGAGAAATAGGCTTTGGCGGCTACTTCGGAGGCAAATGGTTCAATGGGAAATGGTCTTCACGGGAAATAATCACTGGTACTTCCATAGCATGGAAAGAGATGGTACCTATTGTACTTGCAGTGTCAATATGGGGAGATGAGCTAAAGAACAAGAAAGTTGTCGTGTACACAGACAACATGTCAGTGATGTATGCAATAAACAAACAGACATCATCGTGTACAAAAATCATGGCTTTGGTGAGATCGTTCGTCTTGGTGTGTCTGAGGCAAAATATCTTGTTTAAGGCAGTTCATGTACACACATATGATAATGGTATTGCGGACTCCCTTTCCCGATTCCAGATGTACCGATTTCGCAAGCTGGCGCCGTTGGCGGAAGAAAGGGCCTCACCAATACCGCCTGGAATATTACAGACCTAGCAAAAGAAACACAGTGGCTGCTGGGACAATCTCTAGGGGAAGGATCTCAGCGCGTGTATCAGAGGGCAGTGGATTCTTTTCAGGAATTTCGGTTGAATCACCAGTTGAATCCTTCTTGGCCGGCATCAGTGAAACAGGTCATGGCATTTATTGCCCAACTTTCTATCAGTGGGAAAGCACCCACGACAATCACAGTGCATGTTGCAGCCCTAGCATATTTACATAACATGCATGGTTGGGCTGATCCCACAAAACATTTTTTGATTATGAAAATGCAAGAAGGTAGTAGAAGAGACAAATGTTGTGTAGATACTAGAAGACCCATCACATGGGAGCTAATGCGACAACTGTTGCCAAACCTAGCATATGTATGTTTTTCACGATACGAAGCAATCATGTTCAAGGCAGCGTACTTACTAGCATTCTTTGGTTTCCTGAGAATAGGGGAGTTCACCGTCCGAGGGAAGGGTGATGATACAAGGAAGGCGTTGAATATCACAGATGTACAAATCCGATTTTCTAAGACAGACCAATATGGGAAATCTACCACCTTGTGGATTAATGCAAACCGGGTAGAGGGGGTATGCCCAGTACAGGCCATGAAATCATATTTACAAGCAAGGCCACAGGTAGAGGGTCTACTATTCTGTCATGAGAATGGCTCCCCCCTTACAAGGTACCAGTTCAGTGCAGTCCTGAAAAAGAACATTCAGCAAATTGGGGCGAATGTTAGTCGGTATGGGACTCACTCTTTCCGAATTGGGGCAGCTACTACAGCTGCCTTGAATGGTGTGCCACCAGAACAAATTAGGAAGATGGGTAGGTGGCGCAGTGAAGTTTATTTGCGCTATATAAGATAAGTTACATTTACTCCATACTAAGTACTAGGGAGTTATTACAATTATGAAAATAAAGCTCACAAGAAAATTTTATATTTTGTTCTTCCCAAATATATGAACATGTTACTTTCGGGAGTTTAACTATTTTATTTCAGGACGAGTACGCAACCGAGTCTGGATAGTGGGGGACAGTATCGTAAGAAGGGCCAAAGAGCGAGCCACTGCACAGAACCGCCTGCACTTGGGAGCAGAGAAGGGTGCAGTACAGTGGCATGGTCAAGGAGGTGCTACTCTCCATGACCTCCCCCGAATGGTCAGAAATAGGTTGAATTACAACGCACCACCTGCACTGGCGATCGTTCACCTGGGAACAAACGACTTGGGTCAGAGAGATGCATGCCGTTGCAGAATCGCAATCGATACAGCAATTCAAACTCTACGAGCAAGAATGCCAGGAACCCACATAGCCTGGTCTGGAATTCTTCCAAGATTGTTTTACTACGGTAGCAGACCAGGCCCAACATCACAAGAAGCAATGGATGGTGTGCGGAAGTCACTTAACAAATTCGCAAAGAGGAGAATCTCCCAGATGGTGAACACATCAATGATAGTGCACAATATAGATACCAAAGAGCACAGTCTGTTCCATAGGGATGGAATTCATCTCTCAGATGTGGGCTCTGACATGCTCATCGATAAATTCGAATCTGCAGCCAAGGACACTGGCCTTCTCTGAACAGATTCAGCCTAATGTCAATAGTATTCTATGAAAACCTAAAGTGAGCGACAAAAGTCAATTAGTTGAATTGAGTTATATTTGGGTTATTCCATGAGGTTGGGTTTGAAAATATAAGATGATATCCAGGTAACGGGAGGCATGAGAAATACTATTACACACTGAAAAGTACTTCAGTCGTGGAAGATTCTGATACATTGAATATATAACTCTGTACTGTCAAGTCATGCTTGTTTCAATAAGTAATCTATAAAAGATATATACTGTGACACAAATTTGTTTACCTCTGGGGATAAGGCAGTCAGTGCGCATGTAAAAGGGTGATGTATGATTCGTCAATGTAAATGTATTTTGGCTTTGTTTATATTATGAGGTGGAAATATTTTGATTCTGAATCTGGAAAATCTGAAGTCACATGGCATTACATTATAATTGTCTAGTGATAAGGGAGCCTGAGTCTGCTGGCAAGGACTGGAGTCAGTAAGACTTGGTCGCACTAAATGTTTCAGGAACCAGTGGGCCATAGGGGAATTTTCCCGACTACGAAATGTAGCTAGCTCGACAGATCTTTAAGTCCGATCACAATAGCCGGTTTTGCCCCTATCTTTCCTCGCGCAGCAGGAGTAGCTCCAAACAGTTTAGAATGCAAATGCATTAACACCTCAACATGAAATGTATAGTTACCCAACTTTAATGCATGACACAAGTGTAGAAGTGAACGGCAATGAGCATAGTTCATATGATGACATCATAGGTGTATGGTTAAATAGGTCAGGATGAATACCTACAGCAACCGGGGGAGAAAGTAGGAGATCTCAAGAGATCTGTAAAGAAGCTGAATCTAGTTGTTTGTTTTTTTTTAATAATAATAATAATAATAATAATAATTTAATTAATTAATCACAACAACAAAAAACAAAAACAAAAAAGGTATTGGGTGTAGGTTTGAATTTTATATAATTTAATTTGAACACGCGGGACTGCCAATATCTTTGGCCAAGCAGGCCGGGATACGCGTCCGCGTTTAGGAGTGATGAGGGGGACAGGAACCCCAAGAAGAGGGGGATATCAGCGGGAGTTACTATCCTGCTGGTGGATCACGTTCAGAGCCCCATGAATTGGGGGGCTACCGGGAGGAGCTACTATCCTTTCTGGTGATCACGTGACCAGAGATCCTCAGGATTATTCTGAAAAATTAATTCTCACAGTTTGATATTGCAGATAGGATTATATTACATGTATTTTGGTTTTGAGTTTCGCAGAATTATGTTCCTGAGTTTTCATGTTCGTACATAGCAATTTGCATCATGTATGTGTATTGGTATTACAGGCAGATATTGCCTATTTTAAATGTTAACGCCTTGAAGCGGAAATAAATGTCGAGCATTTGCAATTCATGTTCGTACAGTTGCTTTCTTCACAAAATAATGTGATCAGCATAAACTGATCAGCACATTTTTGGGAGAAGCAAGAGTTCGAATCAGGTCAACAAACTTTGGGGTCAGAAGTATCAAAACATGCGCGTAAAGATCCGACTCATGTGGTGTGCATGTGAACATTTTCTAGTGTGGAAATAATTTGGCAAAGTTATGCGTGCAAATGAGCGCGCTTTGAATAGCCATCCTCGCTTCATTTTCCGTTCAAGGCAGTCGATTGTTTCCCCCCCCCCCCCCCACCCATTCCCAAGTGACTATTTAGGGTTCACACGTTACGAGGTTGCGTAACAACGAATGAGGAATAGTTGGTGGGGGTTTGTTACTCAGACATGTTTGAAACAGTTAAAGACAATGATGTATTATGGTTGTTAAGGGGACATGATCTATGCACACATTCTGCTCCAAGGCCAAAGATTGGGGAGCGAGGTAGTTGCAAATTCTTGTACATTAAGGTGGATTTAATTGGGCATGTCTGAAAATAGGAAATAGTCATAACCTTCTCCATAAGTTGGTACATAGTTCAAGCCTTAGTCCCGAGTCAAGAACCACAAAGGATTTAAGCTGGAGTTATGTTGGAGTGATATATATCAGGGCAGAAGTCACAGTGGTTATGTTGCCTGCACTGGCTATAGCCTGCCTTAAGGTTAGGTGGTTAGGAGAAAGGTATGGGGCAGGTACTTTGGCACAGGAATAGTATTAACATTACAAGGTGGCAAAGTTCAGATATGGAGATACTGGGCGTGGAGGTTATGCTGCATATTGTGTATTGTTTAGCTTTGATCATGCAGTTAGTTGGAGGGCCGGGCAGGAAGTGCCCAGGGTAGGATGTATGTGTATTTAGCACTATGTTAGTGTAAACACTTTGAGTAAGGTTCTGGTGGTCTTGAAGTCTTAAACTGAGTCTATTACATTTTATTAGTGACACCCTGTTAAGGTTGGGAGGTTGGGCTGCACGGGGAGTTAATCCTGTTCACAGGTCATTGTCACACATCGTTTTAAGGTTGGGAGGTTGGGCTGCACGGACAGTTAAATCTTGTAGTTATCTACAGGACTTTTTCACATGATTTACGGATGGGAGGTTGGGCTGCATGGACAGTTAAATCCTGTATTTATCTACAGGTCATTTTCACATGATTTACGGATGGGAGGTTGGGCTGCATGGAGAACTTAATCCTGTATTTAATTACAGGCCATTATCACATGTCTTACGGTTGGGAGGCTGGGCCGCACGGAGATTTTAATCCTGTGTGTCAAGTTACAGGTCATTGTGACGTGTTGTTTTATGGTTGGGAGGTTGGGGTGATTGGAGAGATCGATCACGAGTATACATGTAATTATCGTTATATGTATGTTTTTGTAGATGTTTTCAAGGTTAGAGAATACATATTCATTCAGAGAACAAGGATGGTAGTTTAAGTCAGCTACGGTATAGAGGTTTGAATTTTATATAATTTAATTTGAACACGCGGGACTGCCAATATCTTTGGCCAAGCAGGCCGGGATACGCGTCCGCGTTTAGGAGTGATGAGGGGGACAGGAACCCCAAGAAGAGGGGGATATCAGCGGGAGTTACTATCCTGCTGGTGGATCACGTTCAGAGCCCCATGAATTGGGGGGCTACCGGGAGGAGCTACTATCCTTTCTGGTGATCACGTGACCAGAGATCCTCAGGATTATTCTGAAAAATTAATTCTCACAGTTTGATATTGCAGATAGGATTATATTACATGTATTTTGGTTTTGAGTTTCGCAGAATTATGTTCCTGAGTTTTCATGTTCGTACATAGCAATTTGCATCATGTATGTGTATTGGTATTACAGGCACATATTGCCTATTTTAAATGTTAACGCCTTGAAGCGGAAATAAATGTCGAGCAATTGCAATTCATGTTCGTACAGTTGCTTTCTTCACAAAATATGGCTACATTACGAAAAAGGCCTATTGTCTCTGCCACATCCCTTAAATGGCATATTACATCACATATTCTACTGATCATCATAAGTATGACTAACTGTTTAGATAATTCGGCCTAACAGGTTAAAACACCACAAGTTAAATGTCAAAAGTCAGTCATTATATATTTCTTGTATCCTTCTTTGAAAATTGTGACTAATCCTAAATGGGAATTGTTGTATTCGTTTGCCCTTTTCATATTGCTCTCTCTCTCTTAACAATACGTATAAATTAAGCTGTTTAGCTGTAAAGTTGATCATATTTGAATATTGAATTGTTTGAGGAGAGATCGACACGAAAATAACTAGTATAATTGTCTGTTTGAGGCTCGGAATATAAAGATTGGAACATGCAACAAGCAAACTGTAAGTTAATTTTGAAAAATCTTATATATTTGCATATTGCCATCATCAGTGTGTGAGCTGTCTAACTATTTCGCTTCAAGATTTCCGGTATATACAAAATATGTATTTGTGAAAATTTCATTAAAGGAAAGTATAATAATGGGTGAATCTTTCCAGATAAAATTATATTAACTAAACCCAAGGGACTTAGGGGATAGAGTCAGAGAAAAGAGGAAATTGGTTTTAGTGATTTTCTAAGAAGACAACCGTGTGATGTTTATTTGCTTCAAGAAACACATAGTTGTAAAGACCCTGAAAGGATATGTTCAGCGGAAAAGGAATATCATGTCATATTTATTTACGGGAAATCCGACAGTACCGGAGTGTGTATATTGATCAAGCCGAATTCAAATTTACAGGTGTATACTATTATATTATATTTTGTTGCTTGTCCTTACCTATGGAAAAAAGAAGTTTACAGTTGTAAATGTCTATGGTCCAAACACAGATCAGATAGTGAAGATGTATTTAGAAATTTCATAATTTTGTAATAGAATATGAGAAAGAGCCTAATATTATGGGGGCGACATGAATACAGTACAAGATATAAAGGTTGACAGATATCCCAATCATGTGCAATAGCATCCAAAATGTTTATCTGAAATTGATTTGTTCAAAAATGACTTTGATTTAATTGACATTTGGCGTGTACAAAACTCATCAAAGTTACAGCTTACATGGCGGTCAACGGTAGCCAGAAAGATAATTTGCTATTTTCTTATATCAAATAATTTGAGAAAGAATGTTGAACATTGTAAAATAAACTTAGGTGATCGGAGTGACCACTCTGCTATAAGTTTGGTAGTGGAAAATATGGTTTACAAGAGAGGGCCTGGTTTCTGGAAGCTAGATACATCTTTACCTTTTTATAAAGTAGAAAAAGAAGAAATAAGGAATTTAATTTGTGTTAAAGTTACTGAACTATGAATACATGTACTTTAAGGGAGTTTGATGAATACAGAATAATTCAGAAATGCATTTTTATTTCCTCTATGCTAAAAAATGAATAGATAATAGAATACATTACTTGGTCAAAAACATTAGGAAGCTACGTTATGCTTTGGATATAGATCCAAATGATAACTTTTTAAATGATTTGATGTTACGTCATCAAAGAGAACTATGCCAAATGCAAGAAGATTTTGTTCGAGGAATTATGATTAGAAATCGTGCCACTGGATTGCTGAAGGAGAAAAGGACACTAGGTATTTTTTTTAATCAGAAAAATGAATTTACGAGAGATACATATTCAGAAGTTTAAAAAAGCTGACACCTTCATAGTTGAATCATCTTTAATTTTGCATCAGTAAAAAAAAATCAGAAACTGTTTAAAAGCAATAATAATTGTGCTTGAATTGTCGCCATTAAACAATTTTTCTTTGCGAAGGTTTCATAAGTGTAGATGAATGCTATAAAGCAGTCAAAGATTTAACATCAGATAATAACACCTGGCACAGATGGGCTACCTGCTAAATTTATATAAAGAATTTTCGGTTGATATAAAATATTATCTGTAGAATGTTCAACTCGTGTTATCACCAAGCAAAATCTGCTCATCAATGAGTAAAGGAATCATGGTTACTCTGTTCCCCTAAAAGATAAAAATACCTCGAGTTAAAAAAAAATGGCGACCCATATCACTCCTAAATACGGACTAGCCAATAGACTAAACTGGGTTCTTCCATTAATTATAGATGGAGACCAAACTTCTTTTTTAAGTCGATATAATGGTCATTACATACATACATACAGCGATGTGATACATCATTGAAGGCAAAATTGTTTAAAAGTCCTAGCTTTATCTACTGATTTCGAAAAGGCGATGCCATTAAATGGAATTTCTTGTTTCCGAGCATGCAGAAATTTGGATTAAAAAAAAATCATGGGTTTCACTGCTATACAAAAATATGAACAGTTGTGTGGTAAATAATGAGTATTCATATTAAGCTTTTTATTTACACAGAGGTGTCAGACACCGCCCTCTATCGCCTTACCCAATCCTTATTGAAGCTGAAGTTCTTTGATAAATAATTCGGCAAGATAGACTTATTAAATGGCATCCCGGTAAATGATGTAGAAATACGAGTCAGTCAGTATGCTGATGAAACTGTAATCTACTTACGTGCTGAAGAGTTAAACTTAAGAAGAGTATTCGCTATTTTGTCTTCTTTCACACAAATCCCTGGTCTTAGAGTAAATGTTGAAAAAAGTAACATAGTTTGAGTCATTAGAAGGAATATCATGTAAAGATTTAAAATGTAACTGGAAAGGTTGAACTAAACTGAGTTGTTATTAAGGATATGGAACTACCGTTATTTGATGGTGTTTAATAAAAATTGCCGTAATTAAGTCTTCGGTTGTTCCAAAATGTGTGTATTTATTTAGTATCATAGAAGATCCACTAGTTACTTTTTTCTGCTCGACTTCAACAATTATTTTTTTGATTTCATCTGGTCTGGCAAAAGAGACAACATGAAAAGAAGTGCTATGTATAATACGTATGAAAAAGGTGGATTGAAAAATACTTGTTGATGTCTTCTTAAAGAAGTATGGTGAAAAGAGGATTTTCAATGGAAAGTTCAAATAGAAAGATATCAGAGATCGCTTATCAAATATTTTGTTGGAAACATGTTCTCTCAGCTTGATAGTACTATAAGTACTATAACCTAGTTATATTGAAAGAAATTTCATTTCAACCATCGTGGTATGGTATGATACATTTATACAAATTCATAAACAGATTATGTGTCATAAAAAAATAAGTTGAAGCTGGGGTACTTTAATTAGAAGATCTTCTGAGTGAAAATGGTAGCTTCATATCTCTCACTGAGTTCTGTTGTAGGCGTGAGATCGATACATTTTTGTTTTATTAATGTGCTATTATATCCGCTATTCCTGCAAGTTGGAAACAATTTATGAGAGAGAACACATCTCAAGAAACAGGGGTGGTTTTAGTTAAGAAAATGAATAGTTTTATAGTACAAACAAGTGATAAAATTAGCTATTCTCTGTTTGTGAAGGAATTATGTTCAAAAACAAATATCACAAAACAGTTCAAAAAATGGAAGGTGGATTTGACTTAAAGCACAAATTCCTAAACCGCTTGAAATAGCATTACAGTGGCATAGTTGCACAAAGCCACCCCTTACAATTTCATAGTCAAGATTAAGAACATTTTAGCTCAAATTCCTGCATCGAAGGATTTCTGCGAATAAAAATGTGCACCGTATTGGTATAAAAAAGTACACTAATATGCAATTTTTGTCAAACAAATTTGCAAACGTTAATTTATTTGTTTTATACGTTTCCTGTTGCAAAACAAATCCAGGAAAGATATCAGTGACTGGCTCCGTAAAATTAAAATATCTAGTTTTCCATTTTCACCCACAGACATTATCTTTTGGAGTCGAGACTAGTAACAAAATAATTAACACTTTTGTGATGTATAATAAACACTTTCCTTTTCGAAATAAATGCATAGAAAATAACCTAAGTTCATACAAATAAAGGTGGAAACTATTTAATTAGAAACAAGTGGAACGGGATAATGCAACAAGACAATGAAAGATGCTGAAATTTGATAATATGGTTATCACTGTTATCTTCGCAATTTTCTGTACGCTACATTTTATAACGTACCACTCATTACAATGTTTTTATTATATTGATGTACATGTTCTTCACCAACTGCTCTAGTATGTACTTTGATTTGAAGCAATAGACTTAAAATTATTATTAAAAAACTGTCTAGAAGTAAATCAAGGACAACATCAATATCCTTTTGCATATCCCATGTCATGAATATGTTCCGACATATCTAAGTGCTTTATCATTTAGTAAGTTTTATTATAAATTTTGAATTTCATAAGCGTGGTATTCATTCATTACAGTCAATTCCACCTGTTGTTCATACTCAACGTCGGTTGGGGATTTGAGGTTGATTTTTCGAAATCCTTTGTAATCATGTTAAATATGCATTGTTACCGAGGATAATCAAATTGAGAGCAATAAATACTTTTTGTAAAAACTGAAATAGGGGTTTCTATCTATGCCTCTTTCTTGAAGATGTTTCCATCCCTCGTTAATACATTTCATGATACCATTTCATTTTTCCCTTTTGTTTTAGGCATCCTTAATTTGCTAGTAATGATCATAGTTGCCATGGGAATCAAAGTATCATGTCTTCCAACACGAAAACTACTTAGTGCGTCGTCACAGACTTGCCCCCCTCCAGTGGCCTACGAGTTACGTCGTGATGTCCAACATATCATCGGCTTGACTAATATTCTTTTGGTAATTCTTCTTCTTCTACCTCTTCTTATTATTATTATTGTTAATATTATTATTACTGTTGAAAAAAATAAAAGGGGCGCAATATAATTACAAAATGTTTGCCTCAAATAGAAAGCCTATATGTGTTTATTATAGCGAGCGTGGTGAGGCCTGTCGCATGCGTCGTGTATTAACGTCCATTTTTCCCTGCTTCATAGAGGCAGGCTATGTTACAGGGTAAAAGAATTCGTCCCTCGGATAGAACGTTAAACGGAGGCCCCGTTTTAATAGATTGAGAAATGTCACCATCTTTGCACGTTCTAGAAACTACTGTACTAATCGGTATTCGAGTAAGGGGAAACCCCGGGTTAGTGGTCCACATGCACAACACCAATCAGTTATTCTGGGAGGAGAGACCCAAGGGTCACAATAATTTAGTTCGCTTTTGATAGCCCTACCTAGCACAGGTACCGCCGAATAGGTAACAAGATAAACTATTAAAAAAAAGTAAAACATATTATGTTTTTACCTGTGTTTACATTGTTTGTATAACACCGATGGAAAGCAACATTTCTTGATTATATACCGACAATTAATTTTAATCTTGAGTCTTGAGATCATTTTTTTTTTTTTTACACAGAGTAACTGGACTTGTTCTGTAGGTAGTAGTCTTATTTCAGACTATGGTATTTCCCCAACACCATCCGTACTGCCAGCCATTAGTGCAAGTGACTCGGTAAGTGTATTTGTTTAAATATTAAAAGTTAATTACCAAATCTGAAATTGATTTTAAACCCCCAACATCGAAACAAACAAACAAAGATGTAGTTCAATTACACTTCTTCATATTCTATTTTTATTAGAAGTTCGCTGATCAAATCAAAGGGCGCAAGCGTTTTCATTGTAAATAAGAAACATATGGAAACGTTTGCTTAGATTTGTACCTTAAAAGAAGTTTACCACAAACTAACTCCCACACAGTGTTGAGTGCCCACGAGGAAGTGTCTTCATCAGGCAGGTAGTTCCATTATGTGAATGGGTAAAACTGTTTACAATAAACAACCAATCAAACCAAGCTTAATACCAGAAGAAAGCTAACGATTAGTATTTTCATTGGCCGCTCATCCCGAAGCCGTCTGACCACAATAGACTTGTTCGTAGTTAGCACATGAGTCAGATGACCCCAAATATCCACAAATCTTTTAAACATAGATAAATCCCACTTTGTGCCTTTTGAAATAACCATAGCTAAAGTCATGGAGGTGATTCTTTTGTTGCCCTCTAGAAAGGATTACTTCCACCTGTGTTCAATAAAATGCATCACAGGTGCATGCATGAATAATGATTACATACATTTCAGTAGCATGTATCCAGTATTAGTCTCAGTGGGTTTTACAATTTTGTACCAAATTACAAACTGGTATATTGATTGAGGGCTTGCGAGACCGGCCGAAGTGCAATTGAAACTCGCTATTTTGCTCTTTTCCAACGCAAAAAGAGACGACAGTGTGCTGGATTACTATTTTTTCCGACAAAAAGTACAGAAAGAGTGCGATATTATTTGTTATATTATACTTTTGTTAAAGGTTACCCAAGTGGCTCTCTGGCACCCCTAAGCTGGAGAGAAACGCATTTTTTTTTAGAAAACTTCACTTTTCATGCAAACTTGCTTATTTTTCTTTTCACGCAAGTCAGATATGAAAATAAGACCGGCTGAATTAAAAAAAAAAACATTTTGCATTTATTTGTAATAAGAACTCCTACTCGTTTCGCCAGAGGTAGTAGGATATTTGGAGTGTTCTATTTTGGGGGAGCGGTGTCATTTTTCGTTTTGTTACTTGGTTTTGATATACCTTCTTGCAATTCGGAGAAAGCTTACCCGTACCATGGACCTACTAAGAACTTAATCTTCAGCCTTAATAGGAATAGAAAAGTATCATAATAATATTTAATTTTTATATAGCGCTTAATACAAATGTCTCTAAGCGTTTTAAAAAATATACTATTACCCCGGTCATTGGATTCAGTGCCTGCCCGCACACAATGTATGCAAAATCTCCACTCACTGGGGAGCATTCCAGCCAGGCGTTACATGACGCTCAAAAACGGTTTGACCAACAATGACGGTCGCATCCTACCGGGTACCCATTTAACACCTGGGTGGAGAGTAGCGATTGCAGGTTAATACCTTGCCAAAGGATATTAGTGCAGTATCGTGATTCGAACCCTCGACCTTCGCATCTTCAAATCAAGCGCCTTAAACCCATCGAATGGTCTTTGGTGATTAACTTTTGTTTCTATTTGTCTTATTTTCTGTGATCCTCTTCATAGGTGAGCTCCCTTGATAAGTTGAATAAAACTTTAGTTCATATACAGTACTACGAATCCGTCCTGCGCCTTGTTAAAAGCAGTTCTAATTTGGAAGAAGTCAGAGGGCAAAACTACACTACACTAGAAAGCAGATTTAGTCAGATGTCACGCAAAGTTCATACAACACTGAGCTCGTGCGAGGTGAGTTACAATTGAACTATCGAAGAAAAAAAGTACAGGAAGCTACATTATTTTGTTGGCATTACCAGTGACAGACATTTAGCATGGAAATCACATTTCAAATCTGTTAATTACTGTATACCGAGAAAGGTCGGTATATCCTCTTTAAATTACGGCACTTTGTACCTAAATATATATTGATACTGTTGTATAAAGGTCTAATACAGCCACATATTACACATGGCATCGAGGTTTGGGGGAGAACTTGATATTATATGAATCACACTTGAATTGTTTATTTTATACTCAAAAGATGGCTACACGTGCTACAACTTTCAAGCCACATCGTACCAATACTATTGCACTGTTTCATGACCCCTAATTGCTGAATGTTTTCAAATTGCATACATTATATATTTGTACTTTTGTGTTTGATTTCATAAATGAACGATTACCTCATACCTTAAAACATTATTGCAGTATGATACAACATAAATATTCCACGAAACAAAAGTCGGGTCGAAAATTTCGTCTCCCCTTATTCAAAACAGACAAGGAAAGTTTTCTGTTTCGTATGTTGGGATTAACATATGGAATATTATGTTTCCTGATCTAAGAATGGAGAAATCAAAAACTTCCTTTCGTAAAACCGCAAATTATAACTTTGTAATTAAAGCAACAAGTCTGATTGTTTGGATTGTAATATTATACACAAATCTTATTTATAGGGATTGGAAACCCATCCTTATTTTACTTATGTTAGGCTTTAGAAAACGAGAGTCGGGCTCGACTAGCACATGTGCTAGTTCTGACTCTTTATTTTTAATAACATTTCAATGGTTTCCTTGGTTACAGTGTAATCTTCCTGCCTCTGGAGCCATGGTGACGGTCACATACGAACAAGGATCCGATCAAAATGGAAGGGACTGTTCCGTCCTAAACAACATCAAAGAGTCAATGGTTTGGCTTCAATCTTTTGTTTTTACCAGCGTCAGTGTTAGCAAAATAGCCACATCCATTTGTTCATAGCATCTAAGGAAAATCCAACGTTAATAGACAACTGCTCTAAAAGAAAGCAGAAAATCAGAAAAGCAATCTGGTTAACGTTTTGAAGGAAACCGGAAAAAATAATAAGAAATCAAAGTTTGAAAGTTGTAATCACTCTAGGTATGGACACTGTAAATAAGCCGAGTCGGTCATGCCGCAGCGATGTGGCGTTGGACAATTTTCCTATTAGCTTCCACATACAAAACGATAAAAAGTATTTTCCAAAATTAATGAATCGGGATGCCTTTGTTTTTCTTAGATTTCTCTCAAACTTTCGATATTCTGTATTTGTCTCTCATTTTTCGTACTCTTGTGCTTCACACGCAGTGGACATTTATTTATTTTATTACATGGCACATGCGTTAAAACAGTTTATCCTTTTTTCTGAATACTCAGTAGATTAGTAATAACATGGTCCATGGTAATACATAACATCATCTGAGCAGCACAAAAACAGCATATCTGACCTTTCGATACTTCCTTACATGAATTGATGGCCAGCTGTCAAAATTAACACTTGCTACCTGAAGTCAATATCATTCTTTATTGCACGATATATTAGCCTTCTCGAGTGTTCAACACTCATTTCTAACCCATCAATCATAGTATTTTTAAAAAAACTTCTTTTCAATGAATTGAAAGATAGAAATTGTCTAGACAGACATATTGATGCAAGTGCGTTAGGTCGTAAACACTTCTGGGAAATATAAACATACTGAGTTCATTATCTATATTTGTTTCGCTTTATTCACTAGGTAAATAACAACAGTATGATTCATATTCAGATAAGAGGCATCAGCCCCCTCCCCCTCCTCCTCCTCTTAATATTATTCGCATAAGCCTGATGTAGATTTAACTTATTTGATGAGTGCAATACTGAAGCAAAAAAACTCATCGTTTGTGGTGGTTCGGGGTTTGGGGGTAACGGAACGATTCTTATTTCTGAATAATCTGTCGTGACAACCAAATGAAAACAAAACAAAATAAAAACAGAATTTAACATGAAAAATTTTCCAACTATCCAGAGGAAGGAAGCAATCGTAAAGCCCCAACCGGAAGCAATACACCGTGTCACTAACCCGGAAACTACCCAACCCCGAAACCCACCGTACAATCAAAACAAGATTTCCTTCATATGGAATTGTTCGGTCTGACTAAACACAAATAAATATTTCGGAAGGAAACTACAGCTGTAGGGGAAATATGCTGAGCAAGAATCCATGAGAAAGAATTGAAGTATATATACTTGTCTTTGCAATTGAAATGTTGAACTAGAAATTATTTAAAGCTTGCGTGTTTATGAAGATCCAACAGACAAATGAACTTAATATCAATTCTATCTAACTAGCATACAGTCGGCAATTTCAACTGAAACAAAATATTACAAGGATTTTTTTTTTTTAAAGGGGGGAGGGGTATTGTAGCTTTGATTTGGCAAACATGGTTATACGAGATATGTGTTATATTTGTATATATATATATATATATATATTTATTTGGTTATACTTGTCCAATATTTTGTAGACGTATAACGCTTCAGAAAAATGTTTCATTTTCCCGCCTCTCTTGTCAAAGACTTTAAAGACGTTTTGCCCAAACCCTTCCATAAAAAAAATCTAGCATGTTTCATGCTTAGTATTATCATATATAATTTCACATTTCTTACATTTATGGTAGAGAATTATTTATGTGTCATTATGTCATGTTGTATTATTTATATAACATGTATATGGATGAGATATCAATTACGATTGTATCTATAATATTCAAATCCGCATTTCCATCGAAAATGTATCTTATTCACTGCCGTTGTATTTATTGATGCAATGTATTGCATCTCAGATATTGATTGTTATTGTTAACATATGTCATTTTGTTAAATAAACACTATTTATTTATTATCTATAAATCCTTATTTTTCATGTGAAAGACATGTATGGCGAGAAGTTTTATTTCTTGCATTTTTTATGTGAATTTTAAGACGTGCATGTTTGTGTACATGTATGCCAAACGAAATGATGTGTATAATGTTTTACCTATTTATTGTTCTTCAAAATAATTAATAAATATAGATTTGTCAAAACATATGTTTCTCTTTTCATCATTTTAGAATAATCATAATAATAATAACGATAATAATACTAATAATGTAAAATATAAGATCTTCTATAGCGCTCATGTCTGTCAGATTGGACACTCCTGGCGCTCCACAGTTATTACGCCGACTTTAGCTTGGCAGCCATTATTGCGCTCCAGCACTTCAAGGAATTAATTCCTGCCAGGTACCCATTTACATCACCTGGGTGTAATGTGGCAAATGCAGATTAATATCTTGAATATCTAGAACCACGAACCATATGATCCACAGTGCGGTGATTTATCAATGAGACCACGACAATTCCTATTTATAAACTATTTCATAGATGTATGTACAATTAGAAATAACTTGTACATAATTATGGCACTGGTTTTTTTTAACTATGACCAAATAGCTAAATGGCCCTTTGAGAGCCTGAAACTTTTCAAAGATAAAGAATTAGAAATCAATTACAACTTTTTCTTGTAGCATGGACCTAGATTGACCTCCCATAGCTTAATGAAAAAATTTCAACATTGCTTTATGTGCATGAGGTATCCCTAAACAGCCAATTGTTTACGGAATTTTGTAACAAAATTGACATACCTTTTTAGTTGGAGCCGAAAAAAATATATACCCACAAACAATATGTTTTTTTTCTATTGATGTTTGATGAGCATGGGTGGATCTTAAAGAAAGTTAACAGTAATCTGAATTAACTCCTGTATTTTGATGGAACAGTGCAATTAAAAATGGTGTTTCGGACGTTACATTTTCCGTAAACAATGTAGACCCTCATTTAACCCACCAGAACAATAAATTAATGAGACTGTTTATGGTTTGAATAAGCTTATTAGTTACTCCAAGTCATTAAATTAAAAGAAAATATAATTTTATTGTAGTAGCGCTTATATTAGAAACATACTCAAAATTTGAAAAAGTTGTCTCATTTTCCGTAAACAATTTTGTAACGTCCGAAACAACTTTCAATTTGAAGTAGCAGAAAATATATGAACTGCAGGACCTATCTTTCGTAATTTTTTTAAAACATTTCATGGCGGCTACCCACCAAAAAAAAAGAAATTTGCAATACATCATTGCAATACTATTTTATAGTTAAAACCAATTTTCCGTTAACAGTTGTAACGTCCGAAACAAATGTAACGTCCGAAACAAAAAATACCAAATAAATGATGATAATCCATATTTGAGGGTATCTGGAGTGAATAAATCATTATGAAAGAAGTTATTATAAGTGTTAACTCAAGTCAAAACACAAATCAGGTATTTCAAATCCAATAATTTTGTGTAAGCTCAAGAAAGGTGTTTCGGACGTTACACTATTTGATTGTTAACACATAGTTTGCAAATTTCAACTAATTTTCGATCATATGTGCAAGTTACGATTTCACAATGCACAATCCTGTTGAAAACACTATTTTGATAATTTCATTTAGATCTAAATATAAAAATATGAAGAAATATGATGCGAAAAACCAAATTTCCGTTAAATATCTGAATTTTCTGCAAAATTGGCTTATAAAACATAAAATATTAAAGCCACTCATTGTGATGCAAGGCATGGCTGGCTGCTTTAATATATCCTTATTTGTAATTTATCAGAAAAAATCTTAATAAAAGTGACTCATACAAAATATTCAGCCATTTTAACAGCACTTTCTGGTATGCTGTTAGCACGTTTCGGATGTTACATTAAACTGTTAACAGACATTTTCATAATTTATCTAGTTCAAATGAGGGGCAAAGATAGATGTGAGAATAGCAAATTTCAATTTTTCAACCTCTCCTCTTGCTATTTACATTGCTGTGTGTTTGCAAATCATCAGGTTTTTATTTTTACAGAGGTTTTTCCAAATTATGTCATATAACCAAAAATTGTATGGTCAATCTAAACTATTTGGTAGGTTACAAAAGCTAAAAATCATCCACTTAAGCAATACCCAGTGTACATGTACATTACACGGGTATGATACAGGTATATAAAGTTAATAAAATCAAGCACATTAAAATGTTTTTCTAAAAAATTATGGGAAATATGGATTTTCATTTGAAAATACCTTTTAAAAAGGGCACTTAGTACACGTAACTAATCTGTGTAGAAAGTACATACATGTATAAAAGAAAAGGGCATTACCAGTAATACCTTATTTAATGATCCTTAACATATACAAGTAGCATCTTCCTCAAATGTATGCATACATACAAAATGTATAAGCTAGTGTAGGGATTTATTTCGAACTTCTGAAACTCCCCTTCATATCCATGATTCATCCCTTTCATATTAATAGGTCATCCCTCATTTTCATTCACCCTTTTCATCCACCATCCTTTCATCTGTCTATCTCTCTCTCTCTCATTGGTTTCAATGTTCACCTGATGCAGTCGAGCTTATATAGTATAATTTGCATATACTATGAATATTCAATATATACTCTTGGTTTATGTTTGAATATTCAGGAATACTTTGTGATGTTGATTTATACTTGTATCGGACTATATGAATATTTATTGATTTCTTCTACTTTGCATGGAATGTATGTGGAATGCTACATAGAATGCTGTAATGCTTTTACACATTAAAACCTGGTCAGTTAGCCAGTAGTTATCAATCCTACAACATATCTGCTGGGCTGCCTCTGTGTTAAGAGTGCTAGGAATTATCTGTTAGAACCGCAACCCGACACTAGTGTGAAATATAAATGGGCTGTCCGTTTTTGTTTTTTTTCCTCTACGAAATGTCAAAGTTGGGGGTGCGGCGCTACGGCCTTATCGCCGGCAAAAACGGTACATGTTTAACCTATACTGTATATTGTTTGTCACCTGTGATATCGGCGCAGCAAGAGTTAAGATCTATCAACCAACCAACCGACCAACCAATCAATCCATCCATTCATCAATCGGTCATCAATTAAATAAATAAATAAATACTTATTTAAGAGCATTAAAAAATGTTGTCGTTTGAAACAGCCTCCTAATACAAATAGTGGTAAAGGATGATTGTTACTACAGTAGTATTATAACCTAAATCATACACAATTTTAAAATACATCTAAAATGTCTCATTCTCGAGATGTACAAACATTAGGATTCACGTATTTCTTATTACCGTACTTACATGACTGGGGGTACTTTTTTTATAGTTTTATTTAAAAAAAGATTTTTCAATGTTTTGCTTACATACATGTATGTGTTAGTGATATTATTGAATGACACACTATATAGTTGAAGGCAAAGAACATTAGCAAGCTGATTAAACATCTATATTGTAGAGTTTGTAGAAATTGATGATCTCATTGAAATGTTAACATCGTGTAACATCCGAAACAAACCATAGTTGTTCCTAACATGCAATAAAGAGTATGTTTCTAAGTGAATTTTCTAAGGAGTTTTGATGCCTAAAATTGCTATTAGCTTTATATTTCGCTCTGTTAGATCACATAAACATTTTAACTACCGGTACACATTCTTGAAATGAATAATATACCTTACATAAATTGAGTGGTCGATGAAGACAAACTTGGTATACATGTATGTGCTAAACTAATTAAAACTGCACAATTTTTTTCCATAAATGTTACAGAAGTATTTTTCTGCAAACAATTAAAGTAACTGAGGTCAGTAATACCTAAAGAAAAGCAATTAACTTGAATAGAGTTATAATGTTAACAGTGTGTAACGTCCGAAACATCAGTGGTGTGACATTGAAAATTATTAGGCAATGCACTGGTTCCCAAGTTTTTCGCAAGTATTTACCTTATATCAT